TCTCCATGCCCAGAATTTTCTTCGCCGCACCCAAATCCTTCATATCAAACTCAGCATTTAGATGGCCCTTCAACTTCTGAATCTCTAACTTCGACTTCGCAGCTATGAGCATATCATCCACATACAGAATAAGATAGATCATGGAACCATCATCAGCTTTGTTGTGATACACACAACAATCATATGGACTCCTGCTGAATCCTAGCTGGATCATGTAAGTGTCAAACCTTTTATACCACTGCCTTGGAGACTGCTTTAGTCCATATAAAGACTTCTTCAGCTTGCAAACATAATTCTCCTTGTCTGGAACCACGAATCCCTCAGGCTGGGTCATGTAGATATCATCCTCAAGCAATCCATGTAGAAAAGCTGTCTTCACATCTAGTTGCTCAAGTTCCAGATCCTGATGTGCAACCATCGCAAGTAACACCCTGATGGAAGTATGTCTGACTACTGGTGAGAAAATCTCATTATAGTCAACCCCCTCCTTCTGTGTGAACCCTCTTGCCACTAGCCGTGCTTTGTATCTGACACCCTCATCAGGGATGGTTCCTTCCCTTTTCTTGAAAATCCATTTGCAAGTGACAATCTTCCTCTCCTTAGGCCGTGTGACCAGCTCCCAAGTCTGATTCTTAAACAATGACTCCATCTCTTCTCCCATTGCAGCGAGCCATTTAGCGCACCCGCTGCCCGAAACAGCTTCTTTGTATGTAGATGGTTCGTCCATTGATGGCTCATCTTCCACCTCATCGGCGACCTGTAGTGCATATGTCACCATGTCCTCAAACCCGTACCTCACCGGAGGCTTCACACCTGTCCTCCTAGCTCTATCAATGGTGATGCTTCTCTGACGAGCTTCTGGATGAACATTAGAAATAGTAGTTTCAGCAGTAGTGTGTTGATCTTCTCCACCTTGGGGTTGTAATTCACTCTCATTTGGAGTGACTTGCAGCTCCACCTGTTTATCAACACCAGAATTTTCTGCACCAATGGACTTCAAAACAAAATTAAGCATAGAATTTTCATCAAACACCACATTCCGACTGAGAATAACTCTATTTTCTGATGGTGACCAAATTCTATACCCCTTGACTCCATCCCCATAACCAACAAATACGCCTTTCTTTGCTCTTGGTTCTAGTTTACCCTCACTCACGTGATAATAAATTGTACAACCAAAAGTTCTCAATGTAGAGTAATCTGCAGGTGATTGAGACCATACCTCGAAAGGTGTTTTGCAGTCAATACCAGTGTGAGGTCCACGGTTAATCAGATAACACGTTGTGTTTACTGCTTCTGCCCAAAACTTCCTAGTTAAACCAGCATGAAAGAGCATGCATCTTGCTCTTTCCAGTAGTGTCTGATTCATGCGTTCTGCCACACCATTCTGCTGTGGTGTATCTCTAATGGTGCGGTGTCGAACAATCCCTTCGTTCTTACAGAACTCATTGAACTCAGACGAACAGAATTCCAAACCATTATCAGTTCTCAATCGCTTTATCTTCTTCCCTGTCTGATTCTCTATCAAGCCCTTCCACTGTTTGAACCTATTGAATGCTTCACTTTTATGCTTCATCATGATTACCCAAGTCATTCTCGAGTAGTCATCAATTATCGACATAAAGAACCTGTGACCTCCAATAGATTCAACACGTGCAGGACCCCAGCAATCCATATGAATGTAGTCAAGAGTCCCCTTTGTCCGATGTACACCCTTCTTTGGAAACTTGCTGCGGTGAAGCTTTCCCAATACACAATGCTCGCAGAATTCAAGATTCTGCACCTTATGCCCAGAAAGAAGATCACGCTTTGACAGAATTTGCATCCCTCGTTCTCCCATATGACCAAGCCTCATATGCCATAGCTTTGTCATATCCTTCGTTGGAACTTCTGGTGATGCAATATCAGCAGAGCCTGTCACGATGGTACCTTTCAGAATATACAAAGTACCACGTTTCAGACCCGTCAGAACCACCTTGGAACCTTTCAGAATATGCATTACTCCACCTTCACCTCTGAAATTAAAACCCTTGTGTCAAGTGTACTCAGCGATATCAAGTTCTTCGTCATCTGTGGAACATGCCTGACATCGTTCAAAGTGCAGAATATCCCATCATGCGTCCTTATTCTGATTGAGCCGATCCCTACCACCTTGCAAACAACACTGTTTTCCATGGAAACGTTGCCACCATCTACCTGCTCGTAAGTGGTAAAATACTCTCTGTGAGGACAGAGATGGTATGATGCTCCTGAATAAAAAATCCACACATCATTCTGATGTGGCTGATCACCTGCAACCAAAACCAGATCTTCTTCAGACTTTGAATCGTCAGCTTCTGCCATAGTTGCAGAACCGTGAGCATCCTCTTTCTTGTCCTTTTTCTTTATCTTCTTCTTAGGGCAATCAAACTTCCAATGCCCTGATTCTTTACAGTAGTTGCAGATGTCACCGGGTTTAGGACCTTTTGGACCTTTAGAGTTTGGTTTCTTCTTTCCAAAACCCTTCTGTCCCTTACCCGTAACAGAAAGTCCCGATGCCTGATTTTCTGTTGCTGAATT